CCTTCCTCTAAGTCCTCCTAGCAATATGACAAAGTTGCGAAAACAAGGTCAAAAAACTTCTATACAACGGAAGGACACTGCGACCACACAAAAGGCCACACCATCTTGGTCTTCATACCTTCGTTTATAATAATTAGTTCATTCATTTCTTAGTGTCTGCGAACGGCATGAAAAGGGGTTTATTTTATTGGAAGATACTAGTAAAAAAGCACACCTAATGAACAACCATACTTATCTGATCCTTATATGCTATAGTAGATTAGTAATTATCGAAGCAGATAAGCTAAGTTTTGCAGATGAGTTTACTACTGTATCCGTTAATTTCAACTTGTCACAGCCTTGATATACACGAAAGCCAATCCTAATAAGCGCCCAGTGCTGAGGTTAACAAAAAGCATGCTAAACATGGATACTAAAACACTTATAAATGAAACGAGGAGAAGAGGTACGGCAGTGTGATATGATCTCTTGGGTGCTTACAAGCCTAAAAGTGACCAGATTTACAAAAAATGCTGAGTGGAAAAGAAAAAAAAACATCTTCAAATTTATCTGATTAAGAGCCTAAAATGAAATTAAAATTAATGCTGTTATAAAGTAGATATCAAAAGAAACTGGGCTTCGAGAAAGCTCTTAAGACAATATTATTAGGGGGACTTTCAGTTCGCATGAAAGAGAATGAAGAAGATATTCGTTGGTCGAACTCACCAGATGAGGACAAATGAATCTCGTTGTGCTGTAACCTTATGGCTTTTATACGATATTTATTTTGACACAGTCCACAGGACTTCCTTCCTCGTTTCGGGTGAAAACGTGCTAAGCTTTCGTCCATCATATGATGAACATCATCGGAGCTGGGTTTCATTCTTGTGAGAGTCTCACGTTAACACTAGGCCAAGAACACTATCCGGCTCTATCTTACTTTTTATATAGACTCAATTGAGCCAAATGAAAATTAAAAACCTAGATAGATCGATATTTAATGGTTTGATTAATTTTCCTTCATACTGGTTCTGTTATTTTTGCTCGATTGTATGAGTATGTGTATTTGTGCGTGTTAGCGTCTCTATATTTAAAACGGTTCCTAAATCAGAGTTGTCAAAGTTTTAATCTGAGGTTCTGATCCTCAAGACCTAATGACCTAAGAGAAGGCCTTGACTGAGACTGCGTAGGTCCGTAAACAAGTATGGTTGAGATAATTAGATATGAGTAGGAACTAATTATACTTGATTGATATATTTAAAGAGAGAGAGAGGGTATTGAGCAGCCGTCAAAAAGAAGGCGACTCAATTTATCTGCTCATTGATGGTTCTAATTTCACTCACTTTCGTCCAAAATGATAGAGTAAGTTCATCAACCAAACCAGACATGTCATATTACGCAACCCCAGTCTTGCCTTTACTTGGAAGGTTAACCGTTAATGACTCTAGACTGAAAGGTTAGGATAAATGGTTTCGTTACTTGATTTTCAGGCTTACAAGCTCATATCTCATTGTCTCAACCATACTTGTTTACGGACCTACACAGTCAAGGATTTTTCTTGGGTCATTAAGTCTTGAGGATCAGAAACTGAGATTAAAATA